CTGACGAGGTCCAGTTGTGGTGCTGAACAGGAATGTATGTGACTTAATGAACCGAAATATTCCTGTTCATCTAAATTTTTAATTTAATAACATGATTATTGTCGTTATTTTATAACATAATTAGTATCTCTATTTTATAACAAAAAAAAGTTTGTGTTTTTCGGATTCGCTCCACTCCAATCGCAGAATTGGCCTTCGTGCCGTTTTTTTTTTTAAACATATTTTGTCCATCTGTTATCAATCATCCTTGCCACATGACCAGCCCAACTGAGCTTTTCCTTCTTCTTTTATACTGTGATTTTAATTTTAATTGGTATATGTTTATGAAAGATTGTAAGGAAATAAAGAAGGAAAATATGAATAAAATATGATTAAAATCTGAATGGGGAATGTTTCGGTCCATCAAGTCGCATACATTCCTGTTCAGTGCTGCAAATCTTTATCTTTTATACTTTGACACGATCAGAGCTTTTCGTTGATTATATGTTGCAGTCCGTTGTTAACTTTTTCTTTTTAATTTTGCAGTGTTTTGATGGAAACAGAACCACAAGCAGTTGTAAATCGTTGTGCATTGCGACCCGATGAGCTGACATTCGGTGACCAGAGTATCTCGCAAGTGGGAATGTCGGTACGCCTCACCTAAGCTTATCGTGCTTTTTTTTGCTGAGAAGCCATCCGTCCCTCCTTTTTTTGTGCATATTTTGCATGCTTTGAAAATTTTGCTTAATTGTGCGCCTTCACAGAGCCTTATCCGCCGAATCATCATCATTAAACGTTTATTTAGTTCTCTTTACCTTCTACAAATCGTAAAAGGATGCGAAAAAATCAGCAGCGATTGAGGAAATGCCTAGTAAAATGTTTGGAAATTTACGTGTTCGAAGAGTGATCGGGGAATATTGACGACAAATTTAACCCTCCATTGCGGAATCGAAAATAGTCAATTCTTATTGAAATTTTGAGGAAAATTCTCTTATAGATATAAGATAGTTCTTAGCTTTAAAACTTTGGGATTATTTATGAGTACCAGCTATAGGTGAATCGAGGGCGGGATGGGGGGGAGGGGGCGGGAGGGAGGACGGGGGATTGGAGCTTCTGGCGTAGCAACGACTAGGTGGCGGAGACTAGGACAACCAGTGAGGCGATAATT